TAGTAAATGAAAGCTTTCTGCTGTTTGTCTTTTGATAAAAATGATGAAGTACCAAATCGCACGCATGCCTGAACATACCTGTTGTTAGCATTACTATTTCAGTCCCTAGCAATATGCCTAAAAAACATCTGCAAGCTGAAAAGCCAAGTTCAGAAAAATGAAACAAATAAAAAAACCCCCACAGTTTATAGTAACAGCTGATCCTAGCTGTAAAGGAGCAGATGGGACTCATCCATATGCTATCAGAAAGTGGGAGACCACACAACATTTAAGCTATCAAGAAAGTATCAGATGTTCTAACAAGAGAGAAAATACTGTACTTTTAAAGGCAATTTTATGTTCTAGAAAGCTATAGAGTATTTTTATAAGCTCAATTCCTCATGTTATTTTCTATTTTCAGATGGGATAATTCTTCCAAGTACCAATAACTCAATGAACATAAACTGAATTCATTCTAGATTAAGGTCTTTATCTATAGAATCATTATAAACTATGTGGGATTTACTCTGAAGAATGCTGAAATGCTCTAAATAACTACAGGGGGAATTAAGTAAGATACTGAGCATTAGTAATACCATGACAATAGTACCTGTTTAACCAACACAAAAAAGTGACACTCCCAACTTCTACAACAGGCTAAAAGCATTAAAAATCTGCAACTTAATAATAAAGAATATGCATTAATTTTCTTGGGGAAAAACCCTTTTACTGACCAGAAAGGTGGGAAAGCTATTCCTAAATTTCAGTCTTGTCTCATTAAACTACCAGAGTAATACAAAAGAATACTAGATATTGAAGTGTGAAATTTTCCTGCTAAAGGGGTGTCATAAAATATTACTGAGAAGGCGACAATAAGATATAGCCATTCAGTCTGGAAAAATCTGGGGTGATAAGGTAGAAGTCTACAAGCTCACAAGAAACATGAAGAGAGAGGAAGGGGATCAGTTGTTCCATTTCTTCCAATGCAAGACCTAATGGGCATCACACAAAGGATGTGTTTATGAGAGGTGATAGACATGTAGTTTTCTTTTCCAAAGGATGCTAAAATTTTGCAGTTTCAGATGGAGAATGAACAAATCCATGGAAGACTACAAAAATCTTATAAACTATGTCTTAGTGAAGACCTTAAGCTGAAAAAAAAATGTGTACTGGTTATGGAAAAGCGTTTTACCTGCTTGCCCTGTTTGTGCTTTTCTCTATACACTCTCTTACAGCCACTGCACTGGAGATGTGTTAAAAATATGTTCTTTCCTACTTACTTCGCCTTGCTAAAACTCTAATATTAGTAGGAAATGAAAGATAAGGTTAATATTCAGCAGTGAGTTTCCCATTAAAAGAAATTATGTTTTTGTGTACCATGATACTCCACTAGCATTGCACACTTCCCTGTGAAAAAACTTCGTTCCTTAGTATATGTATGAGAGAGAGAGAGATATATATATACGTGTATGCTGTATCTGTCACATACAAGGTATCTTAGTGTAATTGTCACAGTATATTTCTGAATAAAAGAAAGCCAATTTTAAATCTACTGATAATTGCTCATGAGTAGTACTTGCCCCATCTAGGAAGATCCAGAAATACAGATTACCCACTGGACTACAGAGTTCTGATATAAAAGCAGAAGTACAGACTGTTCAATTTTCATCTTTGTGTAGTAATTAAGGACTCAAAATCCTTGGTAGCCTGCTCAACTATCTATAGGTAAAAAGCTTTTCCTTATAGTCACTCCGCATCTTTCTTGTTCGAACATATGCCTTTTGTCTCTCAAGCATTCCACCATGCAGCACCGCCAGAGAAGCCTGGCTCTGTCATTGCAACGCCTTCCTTGTAAATACTGAGACTGCTCTTAGGTGCTCCAAAGCTGTCTCTTCTCCAGGCTGAACAAGACGAGCTCACCGAGGCCCTTCTCACAGGGCTCCTGTCACTGACTTCGTGACTCTCCAAAAGATTTGCCCCAGCTTATCGATATCTTTCCTGTACTGGCGGAGGGCAGAAAAATTTGACACAGTAATTGCACTCAAATATTGAAGTTGTGCCTTGTGATACAAAAAGCAGTGGCTGCAAAGTGGATGTCTCACATTTTGGTAATACTTTCTTTGTTCAGAAAAAAACCACATATGCTGTGTTCTCATTCATCCATCTTAAAACACGGCTAATAATGGAAGTTGCTTTCATAGTCTGAAAGAGAACTGCTCCCAGCTAAGAGGTAGCAAAGTAGTTCAGATCTCCTAAGCCTCCTAACAGAACAGAGAAGTTTCACTGAAGATAAATTTGGCCCTGTTAAAGTCAGCTAAAATATTGCTATTGATTTACAGAGGAATCAGAATATGATTCTTCACAACTTCTTTTCAACAGCTGAAGTGTCAATTACCAAAATTCTCATAAGAAGCAAATGAATGTTCAATTCTACTGAGATAGTCCCACTATTGTCAGGTATTACAAATGTTTGAACATACACAGGAAAGGTGGAGAGGCCAACTAGGTAGCTACTGGTACAGTATTAATGTTCTTTGGCTTTAAAAGCAATAAGTACAGTGAAAAACACAAAAGAAGATATAATTTTAAAGAGTTTCTGTAGAAAGCAAGTAAGTAATATCAAACAAAAACTCTTTGCTTGCATGTATCTGCAGACACTTTGCTTCAAATAGAGTGCTAAGTACAACAGAAAATCGTGAACAGCATCGGCAAAGGGAAAGAAGCTAAATGAAGAAAACCAGAATCCGTTCTGAAGAATGGTGATGTGAAGGAGAAATGTAGAGGGTTAATCTTAATATGCTGAAAATATACCATGTAAGAACATATTGATCTGCAAGTTCTAAAAACTGGTGGAACATGTCTGTAATTCGGAAAAAATTGCAATTTGTTTCAACAGAGATTTTTAGAAAAAACAAAGGTAGATGTTGCAAGTAGCTGCATTTGAAGTTTTAGAGCTACTTAAAACACTGGAAGGGAAATTTTCAAGAAGTTTCAAGTCAACATTTGACTTTCCTTAGGTATTCAAAATGCAAGAGCAGTTCTATTCCACAGAATTCTTCTTTAAAAAAAAAAATCTCAGTCTAAGAAACATACATCAGCAATACTTGGGACTTAGCTGAAGCTGAGATTTGTCCTTACAGAAGGACAAAGGGATTGCAAGATTTTTTGCAGTATTTTTCTTGCAAGAAGAGCTGGAGGTGAGGAAGCAGAAGAGTCTTCATAGGTCACCTACAGTCCAACATTAGGTGCGTTAATGAACCTAGTCAAGCCTGTTTGACTCATTTGTCTTCCACTCAGCTACCATATGCAAAGGAATAAGCACAGAGATTACTGACAAACTATTTTCCCAGAAGCAAGAGGAAAAGGAGTATTTTGGTCTTCTCCCCATTTTCCTCTAAAGCAGCATAATTTTTCCTCAGTTTTTCCAAAAGATCTGCAGAATTACAGCGATGTTTCATTACAGTCACACAAAACATCAGCAACTCTCTTTCCCCAAATAAACCACAATCAATTAATTAGAACAGTTCAGCAGTGAAGATATACAAACAGTTGATTAATGTTTAATGTCAAACTCTTTATAAAGAAAAAGAGGCAATAAATGGTGCATGAAAAAAACCCCCGAAATCTCAGGGGAACAGAAGTCTTACTTTCAGGTTTACAGCTGAACAACTGTGAAAAAACTCCTAAAAAGCAGCTGATTTTTCCCCTTCTTGTGGAGAACAGTTTGTAAGAGAATCTTTGAAAATTTAAGCACTGTTTTGACATCTTATTCTGTATGTGGATTGAGTTTGGATTAAATTCCTCTATATCTATCTGCAAATAGTTTTTGTTAACATTTCAGTATTTGATAACTGCACGATCTGATTCTCAGCAAGTGTTTGAAGGTAGAGCAATAGTGTTTAGAGAAATACTACACTCAGGCAAGTATATGCATATTATGCATATCTATTAAAATGCGTTTTGCAAAGATATGAAGCAATTAGAATCATAGGATAAATTAGGTTGGAAGGGACTTCTGGAGTTCAGCCTCTGGTCAAAGCAAGACCAGTTGCTCATGAACTTGTCAGGTTGATTTTTGAATACTGCAGACACTTTGCTCCAAAGAGTGCAAGTACAACAGAAAATTGTTACGGTCTCTTTGAGCAACACCTTCCAGTGCTTAACCACTCTCAGTATAAAATTTGTCTTTTCTATCCAGTCAGAATTGCCCTTGCTGAGACTTGACTGTTGCTCTTGTCTTCTCATTCTATGCTTCCGAGAAAGGTCTGGCTTTATTACTTTTTTATACCTTTAACATGTTCTTTGTTACAGCAAATGAAATACAAAAATTAGAACCTATGAATACTGGATTGTCTATAAAGTTGTATCCCTCTCTAAGTAATCAAAACAGGCTGGGAAAATAGCTCTGATAAACTCATTACAACCTACAAAAACAGTTACCTGAGGGCATCAGATCTGAAATGCATATAATCAGTAGAGAATTGCCAGACAGGAAGCAGCTCCACCATCACAACATCTACCTTTTCTATGATCTTCCTAAAGAGAGTATGTGTAAACCCTCTTGCACAATGCTTCTCTACCTTTGGAAAGGATGAAAGGAACCACACACAACTGTCCCTTTCCTCCCCTCCATCAGTGTCCCATTTGCATCCTACCAGCATTGAACTGCTAACACAAGCATTGATAAATAAAACGCTCAGCTTCCATGCTGAGTGTTTTCTATAGATTTACAAAATCATAGCGATCCTACAATAGCCAACATTTTAATTTGGTACTGCTTGCAATTCAGGCACTAGTTATCAATTATGCTGACATCTAAGTGGGAATGTATGTGTACATGGGTTTTTATCAAGAATATTACTATCACTTTGTGTTGCTATCACCTTTTATTGTGTTACACTCCTTGTGGTCTCCAGATAAGGGTAAAGTGAATTTCCCTATAGGCGATTTGTTAACATAGTGCCAGTGCGAAAATCCCTGCGCTTTGATGTACAAAGAAACATGAAAAAATATAGACATACCTGGTCCAATGCAGAATGATGCAATGATTGCAAGGATGCAAAATATACTGAGGTAAGGAAGCCAATGCACGGTATTCTGGGTAGATAAAAGACATTCACATTAAGTAATTGTATGTATCACCAATACTTTAAAAAATCATACATAATAGATAGTGTTTTCCACAATTCTTTATCTATTTCAGAATTTAGTCTAGAAAATCACACTATTTCTGTAGAACCTTATTAGATTACTTGTATTAAAGGTCTTGGTCTCTATGGAATCCCTGTAGAGAAACACTAGACAAGCTCTTGCACCACAGAAGTCACAACAGAAGTTTACCACTTCTTGTGCTAAATTTCAAGCCAACATGAGTTGAGTTTTTCTTTCCATTGAATAGATTCAGTACCTCCATCCTCCTCAGGTATTTCAATCATGTTTAAAAAGAGCAACTTTGATGGCCCATAGAGCTTCAAAGTTCACCAGTTAAAGGCTGGGCTGAAGTCTAGACGTGACAGGTTGCCTTTTGGTAGGACAGCTGCATCTGAACCTTAGCAAAGCATGTGAAAGCCGTAGTCCAGGGATTTTTAGCCATAATCTGATTTTGCAGACAAGGAGGGCCATGTGTGCAAACAACAGGTACAGGGGAAAAGGGAATAAACTATAAATGGTTCTTTAAGGGAATTATAAATGGAATCAACTATTTTCCTCACAAGGTAATCTTTTTTCCTACTTCTAAGTAGATTTTTCTTTATTCAGACCTCTAAACAATAGGAAGTTGAAATATGATGAGCAATTTCTACTGTTTCCAGGACACTGTTCCTTAATCATGTATGTGAATGCTTGATAATAGTACTAACAAATGGGAAAAACCCATTAATTCCCATTTCTTTCTCTCTTCCTCAGGGTTTTTTTTCCCATCAGCAAAGTGTAAATGAATTCTAATATTTTTGCAAAGTTGCTTAAGATACGTATAACTGTAGCACCACAAAATATCACCTTGAGTGGCACTGTAAAAATATACTTGCTTAAATAGGTAACTACTTATTTCAGTGTTAAATAAAGATCCCTATTTTCCAATGCTTTTTCTCTTCCAGTCTGGCTTATTCCTTTAGTTATGTGGAAAACGTGGTCTCCTAGGCATTAACATTAACAAAGAGACTCGTAGATCTATCAAAATTACATATTCTGGAGTTCTCGTGTTAATGCAGATCCACTGTCTCTAATGGCACTGAGAGAGAGAAGGGGCAAATACAGAGGAGATACAAATTCCTCTGAGATCAAGCCTATTTGTTCCCTCGTCCTTTGTTCAAAGCAATACCAAATCTCTAATACCTAACAGATTGAGACACTCCTGACAGGAAGTAAAACTGAATGGCACTCAAACTTACAATGGCACTCAAATTTACAACAGCTGAAGGTCCTCACATATCAAACTAGGTTTTAAAAGATTTGGAAGATAATTTTTCACTCAGCATACAAAACTTGCAATAACATCTCTCTTTTGGAGAGCTGTCTGATAGCTGTCATGATGGGTATGTGAAGTAAAGCTTTATTGTGCTGTATATACAGGTAAGTCAAATAAAACTTTGCAATGGTATGGTGTACACCTACTAGTCAAACTGACTTACTGACTCCCTTCAACCAAGAAACAAGACTTAAAAGTCAGATTAATGTCAAGACACAGGAACCAACAACAGCAGGAAAACTGTTGATGAAAGACCACCCAAACCCATGCCATTGCAGATGTCAGTTTTACTTCTCAAAAGCCCTCAGGAACAGAAAGAAACTGCATCTTTACGTAAATGCAAGCTAAACAAGGAAAAATGACTCAGGGTCAGTATTTAGATTGGTTTCATAATCCTCCTCTGACCATTTGAAACAGCTGGGGAACTGACTGCTAGTAACAACTGAGAACTTAAGCGCAAATTCTGCAAAGGCTAAGTCTTTATATTTTCAATAAAAATATCAGAAGCATAACTTGAAAGAAACAGCAAACATGGAAATTTTTCACTACTGGGAAAAAACACCCAAACCTAAGAATAAAGATGAAACATAAGTACAAAAGAAATCTCAAAAAGACTACATTACAAACAAAGATAAAAACACAGAACATGGGTAAACTATTTATCCAACTATAGGTAAAACTGTTTTCTTAATAGTTCATGATATGCCTGAATCTTTGAGTTAAGAACACTGAACATGACAAAGCCTCTATAGCTTTTTAATGCAAAAGTTGCTATGGCTAACCATAGTACTTTGAAACCAATAGATTCATAAATAGCAAAAGACAGACCTTTGAATCCTTATGCCAAACTGACTAAAAGGACTGGCTTATGTAAAAAAAAAGCAAACCAGTATCGAGAACCCAGTGTTTAAAACAGGCAAAAGAGAGAGTAAAAATATGTAGTGACCGCAGTGTTACCTGTAAAGTCAGAGAGACGGTAAGTACTGCGAAGAAGGTAACCATCAATCCAAAACCTCCGATGAGAAGAGGCCTGCGTCCGAGTCGTTCAATAACTAAGCCCTGGAAAACAAAAAGTGGCATTTGATTTTCTTGATAAAGCACTGAAGAACTCAGACCATGTAATATGTTCTCCTAGTAAATATGAACACCAAAAATAAAACTATGAGTTGATTTTCTACTACTTATCAGCTACGATGTGTTCGCAATTGTGTTCGCTATTAGGTTTACACAATTTAATCTCTTTGAAAAAACAAGTCAGCATAGTATCCTTATTTGAGACCATTGAAAAAACTAGAAAATCATCAAAGCAGTACTTGGTATTAGTTTTATGCCTGTATTTCCTACTACAGAACAAATATGACCATGTAGATAGGAAAAATGTGCAAGTGATAAATTCAAGTTTAATACTGTTAGTGTGGTAGATTTCAAAGTTACTACTATATTTAACTTCTTGTGCAATGATTTAATACTAAAACAAGCACTGTACATTGGCCATATAAAAATAATTAATATGATGATAACTATGTGAAGTTTGATTTTTTTTTCAGGGCATAAATAACTGTACATTGATTAATAGCTTAGAAATTTGCACCAAATTTCTACAATAATGCTGTTAGAATATGTAATTTTTAAATGTCAAAATGCTGAAACAAATTATAGTCCCTTGCTTTTGCATTTTGACTGCTTCTTAATTTCAACATCTCTCTGAATTCAAGCTTAAACGGTTTAAATTTTAAGATTAAAAACTTTTTAGCATAGATTCAAATTTTATTAATCTAAAATTTATTTTTAATTTTTTTTTCTCCAAACACAGAAGAAACATTTAGTCGTGATTTTAGATAGTCAGTGTAATTAGAATATCCAGATAAAAGAAACCCACCCAGCAGAAAACTTTGCTCAGGCAAGTGATTGTAACACTGATATTTGTGCCCTCACGCACATTTTTAATTTATATTTAACACCTGAAGATAAAACAATTTTATTAAGAGCAATCACAAAATCTGAATATTTATCTGCTAGGTAAGAACATAACGAAGAGTTTCTTGAAAAGCTGTAACAAGAAACTGTCTTTGCTAGTCTGACTCATTAAAATAGGCTAATATATATTTTAGGTCATAACAGCTGATATACTATTCTCATTGTTAACTACTACAATTACTAATTACAATTGGCTTTCCTATGAGAAGGATAAAACAATTTTGCGAAGCCTGAAATGTATCACTTTAAATAAGTTAAAGTCAGAATCACACAACTGCCACGTCATTATTCACTAGAGACTGAAATCCCTCTTCCACACATCCTTTGAGCAAAAGATAAAATGAGCAACTAAAATGAAATCTGGCGCAATACCCTTAATTCTGGGAGATGATGCACACCGTTCCACTGTGAGCATCTAGAAGAAATGCGTTAAAGGAAAGTACAAAGTCACTCAGGGAAGCAACACTTTGTGTGGCAAACGCTTCTCCCACAGCATCAGGTTCACCAGCAGATTTCAGGACAGACTTCAAAACACGCTGATCTCACACCCAGCCAAGCTGGACTTCTACACCAGGGATGCACGCTGTAACGCTGCAGAATATGGAAAGCAGCTCTGGGGTGAGCTTTACACTTCTTTATTTCTTTAAATGAGGAAATAGACTCATTTTGACAGTTTCCACAGCTTCTATAATAGAATTTATTTTAGAGCCGTGTTTAAAATAGACCCACACTGATGTTATTAACATTTCACATTGTGCTTACAGGGTCCAAATGTTCCAAAACTGTAACTGCTGCACCATCAAAATCTCTACAAGATGCCAAGTATTTTCCACTATGATTAACGAATCCATCTTGCAAACACATGTGGCCACACATGTATTTAACCAAGAGACATTCTTTATGGCTCTGAGGGATGAAAAGTTACCTAATGGGTCTGTAAGAAGACTGAGACTTCTACAATAGATGCTTCACATGTACTTTGATATGAATTACACATTCAGCAAAAGAAACTGCACATGTAATTTGACATACAAGGGAATTTCCCTTAATTTTTTTCAATTCTGGATTGCTGGTCATGATTAAACAATCTTGGTTTTACACCAGCTGGTCGTTTTTGTAATAAAACAGGGTAAGAGATGAATGCTTCTCTTAGAGGGAAAAAGGTTCATAGACACCTCTCATACAGAGCAAAACATGGAAAAAAAGTGATAGCTAGGTTTTGGTTGTAAAGCTGAAAGCAAAGCGAATCCCAGTAAGGGAGGGCAGTTTGGACTAAGTTCTCCAAAAAGACGTGTGTATGCACTTGTGCCTACATACACTGAGAATAAATAGTGTGGACATATTTGGGCAAATCGAGGTGGGCTGGCGAGGCACTCCCAGTTTCAACTGAGACCAGCCAAGCACAGATACAGTTACAGCAGATCTGCAGTCTCCACATCCTTTTTACAGAACAGAATAGAAGTTTCTAATAGATTTAAATTCTTTTTTACTCAGAGACAATTTGGGAGGTAATAAAACAAATCCATGTGCAGTCATTCTTTTCCCTAAGCTGATGCCAGTTTTCCCAAGCATTCATCATTGCTATTTATTTGATAAAGTAGCAATGAGGAATTTGAATGCTTCAGCTTCTGGGCACTCCCTGCAGTTTCTGTAAATTCCCAAAGAATTTACAATTACAATTCTTGATGACATTTCTTGTGATTTATGGAATGGACCAACTTCATTCACTGGAAAAGATACCCATGAATTTTGCCCTTGTTCACAGGGACATTATGACGTACCAGAACTGCTGGGAATCCTATGATCATTTCCAAACTTGGCATGAAATTAAGTACACTGACAACACTAATAAATCTAGGAAATGCATCCTCGGAAGGCTTCTCAATTAGACATGATTAACTTGCACAATTATGAGGAGGGAAATGCCTACTTCCATTTTAAAGCTAAGGACACCTCTAATTTGTTCAAATGGACGACCTACCTCTTGTATCACCAGTTCCAACCCAACAAAACACATCTGCTTGTGGCACAGATTCAAAGGCGGCACACTGGTCTCTGCTGAAATGGGATACTACACAGAATCAAGCTCATGAAAAGCCAAGCGCAATAATCAAAACCATGCTCCCTATCTGGTTATAAAATACAAAGTTGTGGTCTCATGAAAGGCAGCATGTGTGTTTGGTAAGACACAGGTCCGTGGCTTTGCTGGTCAGAGGTAATGCAGAAGCATTCCAGGGCCCATCAGCAGATCAAAGCTGTTCAACTGGGAGTCAATCCACAACAGAAAAGCCTCTCAGGAGGCACCATCTTTCATCAAGGTCAAAAAGGTTTTTTGAATCGTTTAAACACACAGACGCTTCAACAGCCAGTCACTCAAGCTGTTTAGGTCTACAGTATTTCTAACTAAAATTTGATTTATTTTTAGGATTTCTTAAGAAAACATATGACAATACAACAGTACCTCAAATTTCTCTGCTGAATTGTTTGTTCCCCTTTTCTTGAATGAAAAAAAAAAAAGCTCAGATGATAAACTCCAAAGTTTCAGCAAATACTTGAAAAGAAAGGTCTAACATCTTCTATAACAGCAAGTTTCCCTGATGAAAAAAACGCTGGTTTGGAGGTTACAGATAGACAACAACTTCAATTTTAGTTATGATTATACAAATCTAAAACTTGTTAACTTGCAGAAGCCACTAAGATGCTTATGACTCATAAGAAGTGGAAGATGATTCACCAGTTCTCAAGTATTTATAGTTCTGAATGCTCCACTCTATGTGCTGGTAACTGTTACCTATCGAAGACCTGTAACAAGTCAAAATATACTATATAGTAGAGTAAATGAAATATCAAGAAATTCAGTATATGCTCAAGTACAGTCAAAAAAAGAATCTTACAACTGTCTTCTGTGATAGCACACTGAGTTATTTGCCAAATTGTGTAGGCTGATACGTGTTTCTGTGTGATCATAAACATGCATTTGTAGAATCCTATATGCAGTCATGGTAATTAACACAGCTGAAATTACTGAAAACGTGTGAAAAAATATTGCAACCAAAATTCTCTCAACACAAACGTTTGGTGGTAATAAGGCAACTGATATGCAAACTAAGTTAACAGCTCACACAACTTACTTTTGTCTGGCAGGAAACACTTGCGAATGAAGTTAAAAAAGCAAATGTCAATCTTTTCACTTGAGTCAGCTGCAGATACTGGGGTTGACATAATGAAAGCAGAGCACATTAAAAAAGATGAGACAAGCTTCTCTGGATAAAATGAACGTGTAAGAGAGTTCCGCAGCCCAAATGGGAGGTCACTGAATACTATTGCCTACTTATTTCCTGGCCCTAAATTATACTAAGAAAACCCTATTACATTTTCTTGACATCTCAGCTCTGTAAAGAAGTTTGATCTATACACTAACATCAAGAGTAGCCACACTTTTTTTTCCTCATGTATTCTGGAAATAGTTCTGAGTAAGACTGTACATCTAGATTCAGACTTAATGTGACAAGCTAACTCTGTGTTATTTCTATTTTAAATGGCAGGATTAAAATGGATAATCACATTTATATTACTGTCAGGTCTATTTATGACACAATGTGCAGTATCTTGTATCCAGGAAAAGGAAAGGAATAGAAGACTGAGCATTATAAATCTTGGTTTTTAACTCATATTTTTATGTATATCCATTTGTCTACTGTATGAATTATACAGTTGTAAAACAAGGAAATGGGTTATTTTATTTAACTACCTAAACTGGAATCTAGAGGCCTAGCAGCAAGTTTGGCTACATAAGCTCAAGCCTTAAATAAATCTGTGCCTACTCTGGCTCTCACATCAGTTTGCCTGTATCTGTGTTAATGCCATGACAGGATAAGTTCCTACACATCTGCTGTAAGTACCAGGCTAGAGATTACTATTAGCAAAGGGTGGAATTGATTGCTAAGTTTCTAAGCTCAGTCTGAACTATTTTGCTGTAAAGCATCCTTAGTCAGCTTCACTTGGCAATGAACTTTTCCATTCACTAAAGGGGGTCTCCATGTCAATGCCTGTCAGACTTGCATGACCAAGACGCAGCCCAT